ATGATGCTGAGGGTGATGCTGACGCTGATGATGATGATGAGGATGATGAGGATGATGATGATGATGATGAGGAGGTGGAGGATGATGATGATGATGCTGATGATGATGATGATGCTGACAATGATGATGATGAAGAGGAGGATGATGATGATGGTGATGGTGATGATGATGATGCTGACCATGATGCTGATGATGATGAGGATGATGATGATGATGATGATGATGATGATGATGATGATGCTGAGGGTGATACTGAGGGTGATCATGATGCTGATGATGATGATGAGGGTGATGCTGAGGGTGATGCTGATGCTGATGCTGATTCTGATGCTGATGATAGTGATGATGATGAGGATGATGATTATGCTAAGGGTGATGATGATGATAAGGCTGATGCTGATGCTGATGCTGAGAGTGATGCTGATGCTGACGCTGATGCTGATGCTGATGCTGATGCTGATGCTGATGATGGTGATGATGATGAGGATGATGATGATGATGATGCTGAGGGTGATGCTGATGCTGATGCTGATGGTGATGATGATGCTGATGAGGACAATGATGATGATGCTGATGCTGAGGGTGCTGCTGACGCTGATGATGATGATGATGATGATGAGGATGATGATAATGATGATGATGAGGAGGAGGAGGATGATGATGCTGATGATGATGATGATGATGCTGAGGATGATGCTGATGATGATGATGAGGGTGATGATGATGCTGATGATGGTGATGATGATCATGATGTTGATTATGATGAGGATGATGATGATGATGATCATGATGATGATGCTGATGATGGTGAGGGTGATGAGGATGATGATGATGATGATGATGATGATGGTGAGGGTGATGATGATGATTAGGATGATGATGAGGATGATGATGAGGAGGAGGAGGATGATGCTGATGATGATGATGCTGACGATGATGATGATGATGATGATGATGATGATGATGATGAGGATGATGATGATGATGATTATGATGAGGGTGATGCTGATGCTGATGCTGATGATGATGATGATGATGCTGCTGACGATGTTGGTGATCATGATGAAGATGGTGAGGGTGATGATGATGGTGATGATGAGGATGCTGATGGTGATACTGATGGTGATGATGATGCTGATGATGATGATGATGAGGGTTATGCTGATGCTGATGCTGATGCTGATGATGATGATGGTGATGGTGATGATGATGAGGATGATGATGCTAAGGGCGATGATGATGATGATGATGATGATGAAGAAGAAGATGACGATGATGATGATGATGATGATGATGATGATGATGATGCTGATGCTGATGCTGATGCTGATGAATCTGGTGATGATGATGCGGATGATGATGATGCTGAGGGTGATGCTGATGCTGATGCTGATGGTGATGATGATGCTGATGAGGACAATGATGATGATGATGATGATGCTGAGGGTGATGCTGACGCTGATGATGATGATGAGGATGATGAGGATGATGATTCTGAGGGTGATACTGAGGGTGATGACGATGATGATGATGACGATGATGATGATGATGATGATGATGATGAGGGTGATGCTGAGGGTGATGCTGATGCTGATGCTGATGCTGATGATGGTGATGATGATGAGGATGATGATGATGATGCTAAGGATGATGATGATGATGATGATGATGATGATGATGATGATGATGATGATGATGGTGATGATGATGATGATGATGATGATTATGATGATGATGATGATGCTTAGGGTGATGCTGATGCTGATGCTGATGCTGATGATGGTGATGATGGTGATGAGGATGATGATGATGCTGAGGGTGATGCTGGTGCTGATGCTGATGGTGATGATGATGATGCTGATGAGGGCAATGATGATGGTGATGATGATGATGATGATGCTGACGATGATGATGAGGGTGATGCTGACGCTGATTTTTAATGCTGATGCTGATGATGGTGATGATGATGATGATGAGGATGCTGTTGCTGATGCTGATGCTGATGCTGATGCTGATGATGCTGACGATGATGATGATGACGATGATGATGCGGACGATGATGTTGTTGATGATGATGACGATGACGGTGATGATGATGCTGATGCTGATGATGCTGATGCTGATGCTGATGCTGATACTGATGATGATGATGATGATCAGGATGTTCATGATGATGCTGCTAAGGATGATGTTGATGCTGATGCTGATACTGATGCTGATTATGCTGATTATGCTGATGATGATGAGGATGCTGATGAATCTTGTGATGATGAGGATGATGATGAGGATGCTGCGGGTGATGCTGAAGCTGATGCTGATGATGGTGATGATGATGAGGATGATGATTATGATGATGACGATGATGATGATGATGATGAGGCTGAGAGTGATGCTGATCCTGATGCTGATGCTATTGCTGATGCTGATGATGATGCTGATGCTGATGCTGATGCTGCTGATGTTGATGATGATGCTGAGGATGATGATGCTGAAGGTGATG